GTTGATAAAGATTAAAAGTGACGTCGAAAAGGGAATAAAGATGCTGTCTGCAAAGTACACACTTTTGCATATTCTAAAAAACCTCTTTAGCCTCTTAAAGTTTAAGGATGATTTTATGAGTATAGTCAAGAAGTGAAAACAAATCAGAATCATTTGAAACGGATCTCTCTTTTAAACTTAAATGTGTATTTTTTTTCTTTGTTAAAATACTTTATCCCATTCCAGTTTAACTATAAGTAGGGCATTCGTAGGTCAAATTCCTTGAAAAATTACAAAGAGACTAAGGCACTGCTTGTTTGAGAATCCTGACTAGGCCAACATAGCAACATTGGCTAGTTTGGGCCGAGACTATTTGCTTTTCCGGCCAATGACAGATGAGAAAGTGTTCTGGAAACCTGTTTTGCAATTTCATTTGGAGGTTTTTTTGCCCAGCACCCCACTTCACACTTATAATTATAGTTACATTCATATTGACAGTCACACATGATCTCTTGTATTATTATAATGACTGTGGGGGTAAATGAGTCACATTGCACTATCCTAATGACTCAATACTAACATTCCTGATAACAAAATGTCATTAAGCAGTCAAATAAAAATGAAGAATCGGTCATAACTTGTTTACTCATTTATTTTTAGATCGATACAGCACCACGCTGAGGGCAGATTTGTAAAGGATCATAGAATTTGTGTGCTGTATTATCAGGCATGGGCCTGTTCCTCATACAAAGGCTTGAAAACTGTTGCTTTACTCAAAATTCACATTGTTAGTTTAAACAGGAATTTATTGGTTTCTATGCTTCAGTGAATTCAAATGGACAACCATTAGACTCATGCAGCACCTGCTCCAGTCAATTACAATTTAAAGCTAAAAAAAACTAATCTAATTTGGAAGAGACAGCACGTAGACACGCAGTCAGATGTTGATTCACTGGCAGGAAATGAAGCATCAGATGCCGTTGAGTGATTATTTCTGTCTGGATGTTTTGAATGAGAGGGGTATGGACCCTCTCAGCATTCAGTCTTTGTGTTGTACATGTTCGTTTCTATTGTGTGTATGTCGAATGCTGTTTGTGAATGCAAAAGTGTTGTTGGCAATTACAGCTAAGAGACAGATAGATTTTCTGAGTTACTAATCAATGTCTGGAGAACAAGAGCAGAGTTTATAATGTGTACGGTAATTTGTATGCTTCTGCAGATCATCATGTCAGAAACATCTGTTTAGATTGAATTTGTGTGCCATCTTTTGAAATATTTTCATACTTTCAATTTGCATGCAAGTTGCAAAATGTGTGGTGATAAAAGCTGTACTTCCCAGGGAAATAACGCTCAACTTTTACTACATTAGTATTCCTTGGTATAGGTTTCTATCGAGCAACTAAAGACACGTTGCTAATTTGCTTAGGGTAAAACTTGCTGGCAAACACGATGAATAATACTTCCCTGTGCACTAAGTACCTAATGTCAAAGTAAAACAAACCAAATCTAGGAAAAATATAGAGGATCAGATTTCTCTAGACAAAAACATTGCATCTTATTTGTTATTCAAATTATGTCTCATTTGAGGTGTACTTTATTAAAACTGAATGAGTGTGAGAGTGAAAAGCTGTCTAATCACTTTTCGTCTAGTTAGTTATTATCACTAATTTTTACTGTCACAGTAAAGTTTTGTTGAAGAGCTCCCATCTAAATCACTGATTAAAGCTAAATTTCTGAGTCAGTAGCATTGCCAAACACAATGGGCAAAAATAATGATTATACAAAAGGTTTGATGAACACTCCCTGCCTCATCTGTCATTGATGGCAATATTTTTATGGTTAATTGAGGTGCGTATATGATTGTTTTTCAATCCGACTGAGCCATAAAGCCTATTATAAACATATTATTTGGTTGCATGTAAATGTAGCTTGTAATGGTACTGACTTCAGTGAGTCAGTTTGTTTTCAGTAACTGCTTTGAAGGGTTTAGTTCAGTTCATTTTGTAAAATACACTAAATTTATAACATTAAATCAGACTCACAACTATTTTTTTGCTGTTGTGCTAAAGATTCAGAAAGGTGCAGGAAACACTGCAAAGTTTAGATAGCACCACAGTGATTTTAGGGAAAATCAACATAAAACGGTTGACTTATAGAGACTGAGCTGCACGATGACATCACTGAGTCAATGATGAACTGACTTTAACTGAAAAATTGAGTGTTTGCTATTGTCCTCTTGCATTATCAACACTCTATTTTCCTGTTTAATACTGTAAAGCTGCTTTGACACAATCTGTATTGTATAAAGCACTATTTAAATAAAGGTGACTTGACTTGACTAGAGACATCTTTCTTAAATTATTCCTGTACCTTATTTATTGACTGCATACTCATAAAATCAATCTTACTGAAGAGGCTGAAGAGGCTCCTAGAATATGCAAAATGTGTGTGCTTTGCTTCCTTTTGGCCTGTAACATCAGGAAGTAATCAGCAGCCAGTGTTCATATAAATTCTCCTAAGACAAAGGCAATAAAGTTTCCACTGGGAAAACATTCTGTGAAGGCCATCACACCTGTCTTCCAATCTATAACCCCTCTAGAGTCCAAATCCCATGGCAAAACCCAATTCCACATGACCCAGACAAGAACAGATCCCAAGTATTCCAATCCCTCATTGGAACCAGACCACTCCAGCATAAGACTAGGCCTATTTTATTGTGTCAAATCATCAAATAAAGCAAGTCTAATCCATTATTGACAGCAATGATCCTGAGTACATTATAAATCCTGCTGAACATGGCAAAGTTCCAAAGAAGGATTTCACATATGCTTATCTCCTATTACCCGGCGTGGATCATGTTGTCATTACATTACAGCATCAGTTTTGGTAGAAATAGACTTTGTAGCATGTGATTCTGACATGGCTCATGCGTTTTACTAACTTCACTTAGAATAAAATAATCTCATGTTCAAGAAATATGAGACTGGTGTAATCTGAAGATTATGCAATTTGTGACATTTTATTAATAGTTTGATTGAATAACACCTGCAGATCAGTGTTATTTAGAAATGATTTTCCCTGGTCCTGTTAATCATTCCATTAAAATGCATTCAAAGCCTTATGTAAATGTCTTGTCTAAGTAAATGACACATGGCTCTTCAAGAATTATGACAAAAATATATTCATCCTCACGAACGCGAACGATCTTAGCAAATGAAAGAAATATTTTAATTTATTCAGCCTTAAGGTGTTTGAAAGCCATATGATTTTCTATTTTCAGTGAAACAAAAAACAAGACAAACTGCAAATGACGTGTAGCTATCATGCTCAAAAGAGTACCATAAAAGTAGTAGTTGCATTCCATCTGTTCCGAAGCCATTATGCCTTTTATTGATAGAGTTATGATTTTATTCCTCCCTGGAATTGCATAACCCTATCGGTTTAACCTTTTTATGATCTAAATACTCTCAATGTTCCCCAGATGGAGTTTTGATGGCACCTGAAATAAGTTTAAATCATGCATAATCCGTTATTTAAAATAAACATACACTCTTAAAAATAAAGGTGCTTCAAAAGGTTCTTCAAGCGATGCCATAGAAGAGCCATTTTTGGTTCCACAAAGAACCATTCAGTCAAAGGTTCTTTAAAGAACCATCTCTTTCTTACCTTTTTATAATCTGAAGAACCTTCTTTCACCCCAAAGAACCTTTTGTGAAACAGAAAGGTTCTTCAGATGTTAAAAGTTCTTTATGGAACCATTTAGACAAAAAGGTTCTTCTATGGCATCGTGAAGCACCTTTAGTTTAAAGAGTGTACTGTATGTGCTTGAAATGGCACTTCAGTGGTAGCATGTCTCTCTGGATCAATGTGAAAGCCGTCATAAAATGTGAATGTTAATATCAAATGCTTAACGTCATTAATTTGTCTCTTGACTGATCATGATGCTTAAGGTTTAAAAATATGGAGGTGCGAATGAGATCTGAGAGATGTAACAGGGATAGATGTCAGGTAATTAGGACTTCCCATCTGTTCTGCATACAAAGTTACTGTATGGTATGGCTTCAGAAGTCTAGAAATACTGGACATGAACTATATGAACTGCTTTTATTGTGCTTTACGGAGATTGGGAGGCACTGGAATGCTTTGGTTTTATGGAAAGGAGCTGCTTGCCTTGGACATTTTTCAAAACATCTCCTTTGAGTTCCACAGAAAAAAACTAAGTAATATAGGGTTTGTAAATTTGCAGACTTTAATTTGAACAAAGCATGAACAATTCTTTATAGCTGTTTTAATCATGAAATGTCATTTCGAAATAAAATTATATGAGGAGCATGAAGGTGCATTTATTTAGCAAGTTCACACTTGATTGAAATCCTTCTCACAAGCAAATGGATTTACAGTCTGTGGAAAGAGTCTGGCAGCCTCAGTTATTAAAGCACAACACCAGCAGCTTGCCTGAAAATGTCAGAATGTCATTATCCTGTTCTCTCGTTTTCCTCTGTTAAGGGCAGCAAACGTAGAGGGACACGGAGTCAGCAATATCATTATGAACATTATTCTGTCAGTGTGACTGCTGGGGTCCGTGGCTGAGCTCTGGGTCAATGCATTAGGCTAATGCACAGCAAAACAGTGCTGAAACCACGGAACAGTTAAGCCGTATGAACTGAACAACAGAACTAACTTTACAACACGGCGATCAAATATGCACGCGCATGCACGAGTTTCACTAATACACCTGCCATTCTACTTATACAGTAAATGAAAATGTTTTAGAACAAAAAACATCGGAAAAGCCCATTTAATTGTGACTGTTTCCCTTTGTTATCTATAACACAAGTAAAACAGCAGTATAGTTATAGAATACATGTAACGCGTAAACACAGCATGCAACAGATTCACACTCAAGCAAACAATTTTTATGCCTCTGTTATCGTTGAAACATGCCTATAATAAAAGGGCACAACATAAACCATGTATTTACCGCAATAATAATCTATTTAAAGAAACGGTAGTTCTCTTACAAGGAATGTTGATTTTGTATTTATTCCCAGAAAACCGGAGCCCGTCCAGTCGCATCTGCAGAGAATGGCTGGAAAAGCGAGCTCGTGTGTGCCTGCCTTCCCCTCCGCGCGCACTCCAGCCGCTTAAAAAGTTTAATGACGTCAACCGGGCATTTAAAACGCCGCTTTTTTCATAGGAATGTACGACGTGCTGTCTGCCTTAAAGGGACCGCGCAGCGTAAAGACCCATCAATGACTATATAAAATCAACTGTTGAAAGTTGTTCATTCAAAAATGACATTTTGTTATTATTTGCTAACCTCCTGTAGTTTCTTTCTTCTGTGAAACAAAAGGAGAGCTCAGGGGCCGTCCAATTGGGCTTCTTGAGTGTCTTAAAAAAGCAGCGCTCATAATGTGAGCAGTAAGAAGCAAAAGTAAAAGATGTCTATCTAGACAGGAGTATGCTGATATACAAAAAACAATCAGCAGTATATTATCCACCTTGTTTTTGAACTTAAAGGGGTCATATGATACGATTTCAATGTTTCCTTTCTCTTTGGAGTGTTACAAGCTCTTGGTGCATAAAGAAGATCTGTAAAGTTGCAAAGACTAAAGTCTCAAATCCAAAGAGATATTCTTTATAAAAGTTAAGAGTCAGCCACGCCTACCTAAAACTGCTCGTTCTAACATGCCCCCACATATCTACGTCACGATGTGGGAAGATTTGCATAACGCCGCCCAAATGTTCACGCAAAGAAGGTGTAACTTTTATTCTCGCTGTAGTATTGTTGCCGCCGCCGCCATGTCGTGAAGGCGCTGTGTGCTTCGTTGTGAAAGCGAAACTACTTTGTTTGGCCTTCCAAAAGAGGACGATATCCGCTTCGTCATGCCTGGAGATGATCCGTGCTGGTCGCTGAGGAAATACTTCAACTTCGCGCTGTCGATCGCCGGATCGGCTTTCACCGTCGACGAAGCGGAGTCCAGCCCGGGGTCGTCGCATGTGGTTGCCGCAGGCATCACAATATGGTAAGGGAAGTAACATTTCCGTCACAGCTTGAGGAATTCGGCCAATCACAACACACTGGATAGCTGGCCAATCAGAGCACACCTCGCTTTTTCAGACCGATGAGCTTTGTAAAAATCGACGCGTTTCAGAAAGGCGGGGCATAGAGGAGAAACAATAATGTACAGTATGTGGAAAATAATGTGTTTTTTGAACCTTAAACCACATAAACACATTTCATTACACCAAATGCACAAAATAATGTTCTTTTTAGCAGCATCATATGACCCCTTTAAGAGCAAGCACAGCCATGTTTAGCTTGAATGTGCAGGGCTTCTTATGGCAGCGACTTCCAGTTATTTTAGCTGTACAAAAATAGTCCATTATGCTACCTGATCTCCCCATTTTGCAATAAAAATATGTGCAATATTACCACTTATATTTATTTGGCACCACACATCTTAGTCCATCCCTACATCTGATTCTATTCCATCTATAGCACACCTGTACAAACAATTTTGTTGTACATTTATATATACATATGTGTATTTTATTCATATATCTTTATTTTTTATGATCTGTGTGTTGTTCTTGTCTCTGTTTACTGGAAGCTTCTGTCACCAGAACAAGAAAAATCGACGCGTTTCAGAAAGGCGGGGCATAGAGGAGAAACAATAATGTACAGTATGTGGAAAATAATGTGTTTTTTGAACCTTAAACCACATAAACACATTTCATTACACCAAATGCACAAAATAATGTTCTTTTTAGCAGCATCATATGACCCCTTTAAGAGCAAGCACAGCCATGTTTAGCTTGAATGTGCAAGGCTTCTTATGGCAGCGACTTCCAGTTATTTTAGCTGTACAAAAATAGTCCATTATGCTGCCTGATCTCCCCATTTTGCAATAAAAATATGTGCAATATTACCACTTATATTTATTTGGCACCACACATCTTAGTCCATCCCTACATCTGATTCTATTCCATCTATAGCACACCTCTACAAACAATTTTGTTGTACATTTATATATACATATGTGTATTTTATTCATATATCTTTATTTTTTATGATCTGTGTGTTGTTCTTGTCTCTGTTTACTGGAAGCTTCTGTCACCAGAACAAATTCCTTGTATGTGCAGCTCTTTCTGACTTCTGATATTACAATATCTTCATTCTAATATTTGTTGTTATCATATAATTTTAATGTATTTTAGAAATCATAAACACATAGCTTTGTAGCTCAAATATATATATATATATATATATTTCCATTTACTGCACTTTGTTATTGAATTGTAAGCCTTTCACTTTTACATGATATAGCTTATGTCTGCATTGAAAAATAAGGTTTATTGGTTGTCATCCAGGGGTGAATATTTGGATATGTGGGGTGTGCGAATAAAGTCAACATGAGAGGAAGTAAAATGTGAAATAGTTTACTTTTAAAAATGTTGGGAGTTTGTTACTTGTTGGTGTTAAAGTGACAGTTCACCCAAAAATAAAAATTCTTTCATCATTTATTCACCCTCATGTCATTCCAAATACGTATGATTTTCTTTCTTCTGTGGAACACAAAAGAAGATATTTTGAAGAATATTTGTAACTTAACAGTTTTCGTTCCCATTTGCTTCCACTGTATGGATGAGAAATACAATGGAAGTCAATGAGAACCATTTTTTTTTTTTGCCAGCTGAAAGTCTGTGGATGTATATTTTTTGTTATATCACTGGAATGGAGAGCAGATACTACGTAGAGAAAATTGCTGCTCTATAACATGATCTACACTTATACACAGCCACAGTGAATCATCAGCAAAACTTCAAATTGCCTCTTGTTATATCACACACAAACAAAATGAGAACTCCTACTCAACAATTCCTCTTTACCAGATACATGTCTGCCACAAGATTCCTCATTTTCAACAGAATAAAGATTTAAGATGTGGGGTCAAAATGAATCTTGACAAAAAAATGTGTGGAACATTTTGTGCTGTACAAACTTTGCTTGCATATAGTGACCAAAGCTGTGGTAATGCACAATTCAGCTGCAGATGTACAGTCTAATAAATTATATGCCACTAGCCAATACTAAAACAAAAAAGCAGACAACTGAAATAAATTAAGGGGAAAAAATATTAAGACAAATTAATATTTTCTTTTAACAAATATAGACATGCAAATTATGTTGGTAGGTTTTAAATCAACTATTACTGTATATGGGCTGGCTGTTAGCAGAGCTGACTGTTAAAGTTCCTAGTAATCCAGTAATCAATTAAAAAATAATTGGAAAAAATCCATACAAGAAAAGTGGACTGTGATTTATACTGTCAGGATCCTATAACATAACATTTTTATATTGGGATGAACTATGCTTTAAATGTCACACCAATTAAACATTAAACTTTAATATGACAAATAAGTGACTAAAGAAGAGCAGTTTAATAGTTTCTACAGGCGACTGGGAAATTATTTGATTGGTTTTGTTTGTTGGAGGACAGCCATTGAGACTAAATTGCATGTAGTAAAATTATATTTTTACTATATTATAATTATAAATATAATTATATTTTAGTATATTTCAATATACAAGGTATATGTTATGGGGCAAACATTTACTATATTATAATTATAAATATAATTATATTTTAGTATATTTCAATATACAAGGTATATGTTACGGGGCAAACCAGATGTGAGACGTACGGATCCATTTGCAAGCTTTATTAAGGGCATGGTCAAAACAGGCGAGGGTCAGGCAATGGCAAACAGGTATATAAAAGACAAAACAACAGCAGTCCAGTAAACAAGCGAGGGTCAATCGATGGCGAACGTAATCCAACAGGGCGACACTAGAGAAATAATCCAGGTACAAGGCAAAGATCAGAACATGAGAAAACAGATTAGGCAAGACTAAGATAAGGCTAGGAAAACTAAGCCGGCTCCGTAAAGTAGCTATCAGCTATAGCAGTGAAACACGCTAAACAATACTGGCAGTTTGAAAAGGATCTGAGTGGGTGTAATATAGTGAGTGTGAGATTGGTTACAGCTGTGTGCAATCAGTGCAATGGATGATGGGATATGTAGTCCGGGATGACATGCAACAGTTTATGTAGTGTGAGAGTCAGTGTAACGGAAGAGTGACCTCTGGTGGCGATTGAACGGAAGTCCATGGACCGGATTCATGACAGTATATTTCATTGATTTACAGTTTTAAAATGTACTCAGTATTTTTGCTAAACCACACTCCCAGACGCATTGTCAAGTACATCTATTATTTATCACATGGCTTAAGTAACCAATCAATCAAGAGAAAGCAGAAGTGGTCCCTCATGTAACTATGTGCATACTTTCAGCATTTTGTCCAGTATTAACAGGGGGGGAAACAAAGCTGATAGTTTTGTTTTCATGCATGCCAAAGTTGAGCAGCCCTGAATGCATCATATCAAGATTTAAAACAGACTCTATGATTATAATCACATCCTCATGTCTGTAATGGCCTCCCATAGTGTCCAAAAAGAGCACCCAATCAAGCAGCACTTGTGCATATGAGCAGTCACGCTTGCATATAAATTCACATGGGCAGACATATAACACAGATGTAAATAATCAGCAATGCACGGGGTGAGCTGGTGTTAGCCGATGGGCAGACAGCCGTAAATCAGACAGAATGTCTTATAATGAGACTCTCTCCTGTCTGATCCTGCTAAAGATCCGCCTAGAGCAACCTCATTTAACAGCTTCTCTTCATTTGCATCAGACGCCTCATAAACAAGAAGTCCATTAAAACAGTCTGCTAATAGGATTCTGTCTCATTGTTCTGCCTCAGCTTGTCATTTAAAAACACATCAGACTGATAATCATTACAACAAAGAGAGACAACAGATCTCTATATAAATGCATGACTCATAATGGACATTTTATTCATTTAATGCTTCTTATCTGAGACAGCATTATAAATGTATTTTCCTCAGAATCACTTTATAGGTTGTGATATTTTGTGTAGAGCTTTGTTGACTGATATACAGTTCGTTGTCTACTTCTTCTTCTTCTACTTCTTATTATTATTTACCACACTCATATTCATAATTGTATTTTGAGTATATTTGATGGGATGGGATATATCGGG